AGTCAAGGCGTAAGCGGGATCGCGCATGACGCCAACCGGATTGTCCCACCCAGTCCGATCGTGCTCAACGTTTTGATTTTAGAACGAGTGGCTTCTGGGGTGCTATAGCTGGATCTCGATGGACACAGCCAGCTCAAGGTGGTCTCCGCGCTATGTAAGAAATGCTTATGGGATAATCGCAGCTGAGTCGAACGAGAAAGTATCTCATTCGTAAGGCAAAAGTCAGGTGGAAACAGCCAAAAGGCTCTCATCGCTACAGCATGTCACCTGCTTGGCAATGCCGTCAACAAGCCTGCGCATCAAGGGAAGCGCCGCATGATACAGCACGCTTGACTGCTGCTCGGGACTTTATTCCTCGAGGGACGTTCGCCACAGTCAAGACTGCTGGGTGCGAGACATCATGTATGAACCTCTTGAAGATCTCTGCGCTGAGAGGGACAAGAATCAGCCCATCACTGCCACGCCTTGCCGAGACCGGATGGTAGAGCTCCGATGAGTGTGCTGCAGGAACAGATAGTAACTTTAGAGGTTTAGTGAGACAAAGGCGAGATCCTCATTCCGCTTAAGCACGATACAGTGCATGAGTCTTGCACAACAGCAGCAGTCACGCGTGGATGGCGGCATGGTGAATGTAAGAAGAGAATTCATGTCGCGACGATGAGTCTTGGCTGTGCATGTCAGATCGACCGGGATGACCGCTTCCGGCAACGCGTGGATCGTGAATGCGCGCAACGCTCTCTCTCTCTCTCTCTTTCTCTTTCTCTTGCAGTGTAGCGCCAACTACAATCACAATCACGATGATTCATCTTCCGCGAACTCAAGACTTGCTCTGCCTTGACTCTGCTGATGTCCCGCTATCTGTTGTTTGCGCATGTAGCGCTTTCTTCAATACGCTGACAGACACATCCATCCATCAGCCCCTTCATTGCCGCCCTGATTCGTGATTCCACGCAACTATGGCACGCGAAGGCGATCTCATGCGGCTTGCCATTTCGCACGATATGTCTTGAGAGCAGGGCCGCGTCCATCAATTTAGGGTCAAGGCCTGGAACCCGTCAAGCGACGGGACTCGTTCCTGTCGAGCCTAGTCGTGCATTGACACGCAAATCAAGTTCCTCCTGCCAGATCAAGGGAGATTATCCATCTCCAATGACGGTGAATAGGTGTAACGCTTCCTAAGCTTCTCTGTGCTGAGGCGGGCACACGCCAATGTCGGACCCCTGCATTGGGTAGAGTCAGTCAAGAGTGCATGGTACGCC